ACTGAAGAAAACATTGCATAAATGGTGAAAATAATTTTCCTGTGGACCAAGGTATACCTAGTCCAGAATCACGATTTATATGATGATAGTTATCAGTTTATTCAAATGGGGTGTCAAAAGCTTGCAGGAAGCCACTCAAGTACTCCCTCAACACAAGAATACTTTCTTCTAGTAAATTGGCATTCTATGATGCTCACCTTCCCGACACAACCGCTGAAGACAAAGCGGGTGAATAAGCAAACGTGGTGAAGAAAGCTGATGGTGTCCGGCTATCAAAAGATAGAGCGTCTGGGGTCTTAAAAGCTTGAAGGTAAACAAGCGGCCATCTAGCTCAGAAGCAACAAAGCCCACATGGAACAACATATCAACCTGTGTGATCACGGGGTGTCGAAGGGATCACTGAAGACAAATGGGTGCATAAGCAAATGTGGTGAAGAAAGCTGATGGTGCCTGGCTATCAAAAAGTATAGCGTCTGGGGTCTTAAAGGCTTGAAGGTAATCAAGCGGCCATCAAGCTCAGAAGCAACAAAGCCCACATGGAAGAAGCACACCAGCCTATCCAACCACGAGGTGTCGAAGGGATCAGGTGTAAGGCATCATCAGAACAAAAAATCTTACCATAGTGAATGATGGGGGGAGTGCGGAGTGGAGATCCAAAGCCCATTAGTAGGCCACTGGAGATCCCCTTGCAGAGGGGTCTCGGGGAGGAGATGAGCCAGTCAGGGTGCGATGTAACAATGATGAGAAATACAACTTTCCTCTAGTTCCTAAAGGTTTCCTCCCCGCTCCCACTACCATGACTCGAATTCTATCTTGCAAGACTGGCTAGACCAAAGGAGGTAGACGGGTACAGATAGGAACCGAAAATAAAGGGAATCCAGGACGGATGAGCCCTATAGGACCAGTGGTGTGAGTGGCAAAACGGAGGGTAAAGGGAGAATGGGTAGGAAAGAGGGAACCGATTACATGGGATTGTGTGTGACCTCCTCCCTAGGGGACAGACAACCGAAAAGTGGATGAAGGGAGATGTCGGACAGGGCAAGATATGACAAAATACCCATTTATAAACTATCAAGGGCTCAGGCGGGAGGGGGGGAGCGGGGAGGGAGGGGAAAAATGAGGACCTAATGTCGGGGGTTTAAATGGAGAGAAATGTTTTGAGAAACGATGTACAAATGCGCTTTACACAATTGATGTGTATATGGATTGGGATAACAGTTGTATGAGCCCCTAATAAAATGTTAAAAAAGAAAAAAAAATTAATAAAAAAAACAAAAACAAAAAAAATGGAATTGAAAATGGGTTTTTCCACGAAATTTTTGAAGCCTCGTATATGTAAGCCAAGAACCCCTCACTCTTTAATATTAGTCCTATTGATTTTTGACTCAAAGACATCTTGAATATATGTCCGAATACAAAAAAAAACAACCTCACTTTAATGATGTCGATCTGAATTATGTCCAAAGATAAATTCTCCTTTTTTCTTTCCTTCCTTTCTGCAAATACTGCATTGACTCATACTGTCTCTGAAATAGTTAAGAAAGAAAATAAGAACACAGATAATAAACAGTGAGGGAGAAGACTACAAGAAAGAAAATTTTAAGTATTAACACATACACTAACAATTTCGTTGATTTTAAAATTAGTGAATAAGATTACAATATAAGAATGATTTAATTTTTAAAAAATGATTGTACCTTCTTATCCATACATTTATTCAACAAGAATATATTGATTACAAGTTGTGTCATACGAGAAGGTGCCCCCACCAAAACAGAAAAGTCTCTTCTGGGCGAAGCTTTTGTAGTACACATTTCTGCTGGTAGATAAGCATCAACCATCTTTGCTGAGTTAACGTACCCAGTGGTGTCACCTGGGAAAGTTCTCTCTGGTCACAGTGAATTTTTTCTTAAAAGCAGTTACTCTTGAAACTCGTTATTTGTGAAGGCCGGTTTAGGAGAACAGCGTGCAGCTGTGAAAGGTTTTTCCTGTTGGGGAAAAATGCCTCAGAAACTGTTGTGATGTTAACCACAGCTTACAAGGACAGCGCTATGGGGAAAACTCAAGTGTATGGGTGGTTTTCTCATTTCAAAAAAGGTGAAATGTCAATTGACAAACCTCGATTTTGCAGTCGGTCAATTTCCTAAATGGATGAAAATGTCGGCTTGTGCATTTGGAGTTCATTCTACCAGGTCAGACTGTTAATCAAGCTTTCTATTTAGAGGTTCTGACGAGATTGCTTAAAAATGCCACAAAAAGGCCTGATTTGTGGCAGACAGGACTAGTTTTGTACCTGCTCATGCAGCCATTTTAGTGTACCAGTTTGGCAAAAAACAGCATGCCTCTCTTTCCCCATGCACCTTACTCACCTTTATGTTTCCGTGAATAAAGAGAGACATGAAAGGACAGTGATTTGACGCCATAGAGGTGAAGCAAAAACCTACAGTCTGCCATCTAAACAGATGAGTTTGAAAAAAGATTCCACGTTTGGAATCGCGTATTTGATAAATGTATTAATTGTAATGGAGAGTACTTTCAAGGTGATGAAGTTTTGTAAAGAAATTTTTAAAATAACTGTTTATTAAGGGGTCATACAACTCTTAGCACAATCCATACATCAATTGTGTAAAGCACATTTGTACATTCATTGCCCTCATCATTCTCAAAACATTTGCTCTCCACCTAAGCCCCTGGCATTAGATCCTCTTTTTTTTTTTTTAATACATACTTTTGGGGGGAAATTCCGTTGGGGGAGTACCCTCTCGTAGGTCAGGGATAAACAAATCCATGACCATTGGTTTCAGGGGCCTCACAGTTTAATTCGAGAGGCTAACATGGCACTAGACAATTCCAGTGCAACACAGTAACTGACATAATAGAAGTAGATGGAAGGGATCGTAGAAATAGCTGCTAATTCAACCTGAAAGACTGGACACTTAACAGAAGAAACGGAATTTGAGCTGAGTTGTATTCTAGTAGGAGATTCTAAGACCAGCTGATAGAGATGGTAAAATATTTTCTGTTCACTAGTTACTATCAATGGGAAAAATAGTTATACTGTATATTGTTGTCTAGATGTTGCTCTTGCAGTGGTTTACCTGATGTCTTTCTTCAGCCAAGCTGCTGCGACTATTATTTTCTCTTCTGCCCCTTTGGTTTTCTTAGAATGTAACTCTTTATTGGAATAGAAAACTTGTCTCATCTTTCTCCTGTAGAGTGGCTAGTGGTTTTGAATGGCTGACCTTGTTAGCAACCCAACTGAAAATCTGCTATGTCACTAGGCCTTATAGCCCTGGAAATCCCATGGGGCATTTGTACTTAGTCACATAGGGCCACCACGAGTTGGAAGGTACTTGATGGCACATAGCAGGAACATATACTTAGTAAATGCACATATACTTAGTAAATACACACCACACACGTACACACTTTACAGACCATCTAGTCTACAACCCCATGATTTGTACTCGTAAAATAACAGGAAGGCCAAACAAGAGGACTCATTCCAGATCTTAAAGGTAGATGAGCAGATGTGAATCTAGAAATTGTAAAACTAGTCATCAAAGATCTTATGAATCATAGTTCACATAACCAGTCCCCCTTGATCCTTTGGTGTATAATCTTTTACTACTCAAAAAGTAGTAACTATTTAAAAAGTGGGTAGGGGATGTAAAAATTTTGTGGAAAAGGGAATTAAGATAATGGAGCTTTTCCTACAAACTTTTTGGAGCCCCCTCATAAATGTGAAAGTAGTTTTATAGGATGGATTCATAGAAGCAAAACTTTAAAAATTACGTGGATTTATAATTTTGATAAGATGCTGGCAAATCGTCCTCCATAGAAGTTCTGGGGAGTGCACATGCCGCAGCAGTATATGAGTGTCTGCTGCCCCACAGCCTTCCCGCTACAGTGGTGTCAATGTTTAGACTGTTGCCACTTGGAAAATGATGGATAGCACACGGCTTTTTGCGTTTGAGTCCCTCTTATTAGTTGCAATTGAACTTTGGGTTTGGTTTTCTTTTCATGTTTTTCCTTTTACTGAACTGCTGTTTTTCTTTTTGTACTATTAGACTTGCCTTATGGTTTTGCCAAGGAGAAATTAAGTGTCAATAGTGCGTCAATCTTATGACTTACTAAGTTTGTGCTAGTCTTAAAACTGAAAAACAAACTGCTACTGAGTCGAAGCTGACTTAAAGTACCACTGTAGTACACGGTTAGAACTGTTCTTCTGAGACTATAACTAAACTGTTCAGGGGAATAGAATTCCCTCCATCTTTCAAATGCTCTTGTCTCTAATTCCAACTTGAATAGGGCTACGCAATGAAAACCAGGATATAAAACTAAACTGGTTAGTAATTATTGCTTGGGAGAGGGTAGCCTAGCTAACCATGTGCAGCAATGAACATTTTCTCGTAGGACAACTGAAATATAATAGCAGTAGAGTTTGGACTTTGTAATGCCTCTGGATTTGATAGTCATTCTTGCATACTTAATAAAGGTTTTTCTTGTTTTTAATATTAAAAGTATAAAAATTTCTGACTTGAATTGCAAGATACACTTCGCATTCTTTTAGGAATGCATTTTTAATTGAACCATATATAAAATATCATGCAGTATTTTTTTAAGCGATAGTTTTAAGGATAACATTTTATACAATTTTTCTTTTGTGTGATTTTTGGTAGAAAAACAGTTTTTGTTTTTCCTGAAGTTGAAGCACATTTTAGTTATATTCCTATTGACTGTGTTGATAGTCGTAGGTATATTAAAAAACAAAATCAAATCTGCCATCGAGTTGATTCTGACTCATAATGACCCCCCCCATAGGGCTTCCAAGGCTGTAAATGTTTATGGGAGCACTTAGTCTCAACTCTGGCTGAAATGCCCGCGGATTTGAACCTTGTGGTTAGTAGCCCAGTGCTTACCCGATAGCGCCACCAGAGCTTTACAGAAGTTACTGGTTAACTGTAAACTGAGCACGAGTGTGTTATGTTTTCATCTAGATCCCAAGGAAGAGAAAGAGGAAGAAGACGATTCTGCCCTCCCTCAGGAAGTCTCCCTTGCTGCAGCTCGGCCTAGCCGGGGTTGGCGAAGTAGCAGGACGGCTGTCTCCCGCCATCGTGACACGGAGAATACCCGAAGCTCCAGGTCCAAGACGGGTTCATTGCAGCTCATCTGCAAGTCAGAACCAAGCACAGACCAGCTTGATTATGGTACGGTACAAATAGAATTGATTGATTTTCAATATAAATTTGAATTTTTGTCAAAACACCTTCATCTTTTTGGTACCTGGTGTTGTGGTATAAGAATGGGGTATTTCAGGAGCGGGGGTTGGTTTGCTTTGACAGTTTGTAGGTAATTTCACTTGTATAAATTACCCTGGGTAGTAATTTGTTTTCAGTCTTTTGGCTGCAAACAACATGTTTCTACAAATAGGGACCTCAAATTTTTATTTTTGGTTTATTTTGTAACAGATGTTGCAGAAGAGACCCACTCTCCAGGTGGCATTAGGTAAGAGCCTTTCACAGTTCACACTCAAACCTGTGAACATAGTATACAGTACATTGAATGATTGAAAATGTTCTTTTCTGTGTATGTTCTTGAGCTGTGAAAGCTTGACCCGGTTTTGGGTAATTTTGTTACAGTATTCAGTTAAGATTCAACCCTGTCCTTGAGTAGAGCTTTCATCTTGTAGCCTTAAGTACTTTGTTCGGAAACGTGTGTTAGGTCCTTTTATGTCCTGGCTTTTTCCTTGCTAGGTATTAGTATGAAATGTAAGGGTTTTGGCCATTGCTTTTGAACTTTTACCAGTATCTTCCATGATAAATAATGTAATTTTTGTCTGCCAATAGGTCTTCTTTGCTATAGCAGGTTAATGGTACTATTATATTCTTTTTAAACTCCTGATGCCATTAGGTAACCATTGTTCTACCTTTGATGAAGTGATAGCATATGGAGAATCCACATTTTTAGTTCCAGTAATTATTTAGACTAAAGCTAGATTGCATTCCGTCTAGATCAGAGAGGGAGAACTTGTAAATGCCTCAGTACTGTGGATCTTTGGCTACCACGCTACAAGTAAGCTACCAAATAAAATCCTGTGAGATATGATCATCATGGCTAAAATGTCACCTCTCTTCACTTCTTTTAGTAGTGATGAGGACGAGGAGGAAGAAGAGGAGATGTTAATCAGTGAAGAGGAAATACCATTCAAAGATGACCCAAGAGATGAGACCTACAAACCCCACTTAGAAAGGCAGGTTTCAGATGTGTGCTGTCCCAGACAATTCCATGAAAAATAAGCTGGAAAACTTGCTGCATGCCTTTGTTTCATCTTGTTATGTCATTGATGGATATAGATGTATTTTAAATGAGTAATTACTTATACACTTGTTTTACTGATATGATTCATTATTACTTACTCATAACAGTCCTCTCTTCCACATACAGAACATAATGTCTGCTGCTTGCTTTAACAAGACATCAAGAATTGCTTGAATACATAGTTTTGTTTCAATTCTCAGGCATATTTAGCCTAAGGATTATCACATAGACATTATTATGTGAGGAATAATTAGCAGTTGATAACATTTTGTGTGCTGAGGATAATTTATAGTGACTCAGATAGTCCTATCCCTATGCTTTGCCCTGTTATAGCTTTCCATGAGAAGACCTTTGCTTGATATCAAAGTTGAAATATATTTGTATTTTCAGGGAAACCCCAAAGCCACGGAGAAGATCGGGGAAGGTGAAAGAAGAGAAAGAGAAGAAGGAAATTAAAGTGGAAGTAGAAGTAGAGGTGAAAGAGGAAGAGAATGAAATCAGAGAGGATGAGGAGCCTCCTAGGAAGTAAGTAGGAAGTTATTGTTTTTTGTTTTTTATTTTTAAAGATAATCAAGCATATTTTGACGTCATTTCAAGGAAAAGAGTGAAAATGTAGCATGATGTAACATACTTTAAATTATTTTTGTACTTAAATGTAAAAGAAATATGGCTTCAAGCAGCTAATACTTAACAGCACGAGACGTATAATTCTAATTCTAAGCAGTATTTGTGTGCTGTTAAGTGGGTAGCAACTCACAGCAACTATAAGACAGAATAGAACTGCCCCAAGGGATTGCCAAGCTGACTGCCACATTTTTCTTAGAGGGTCGGACAAATGAACCATCTCCAAATCTGCTATGGTATTGCGTAGATTATGTTTACTAATTTATGATGCAGGGTAATCTGGAATCGAAGCTGCTTTAGATTGAAATATTTGCTTGTTTTGCCAAATATTTCTTGGGCTTTATGTGTTTTGGGTTATCTTTGTATATGCCACCTATTCCTAGATATTGACTCTGTTCAGCCATCCTTCACTATATAAGCTTCAATCTAGAATGTATGGACACTTCATCTGTTCTTTAATTATAGGAGAGGAAGAAGGCGAAAAGATGACAAAAGTCCCCGGTTACCCAAACGGAGGTGAGTAAGCTTATACTTTTTGTGATTTATTTATGTGCTAATTCTGTAAGAGTTGGCTATTTAAAATTTTTACAAAAACAACTTCACTAATGTCCTGATTCAAGGTTGCTGTGTTTCTTACCCATTTTAGGATATTGAGGCTTCCAAAAATCTTAGTACTTCTTTACTATTTTCAAAGTGGTAGCCCTGGTTGCACAATGGTTAAGTACTCCACTACTAACCGATAGGTCAGTTGTCTGAACTCACCACCTACTCCTGGAAGAAAGGTGTACACTACTTCTGTAAAGATTTATAGGTTTGAAAACCCTGTGAAATGGTTCTCGTTTGTCCTAGAGATTGCTGTGAGTTGGAATTGGGTAGTGGGTCTGGTGTTTAGTTCCTTTCAGTTTCGGCTCCCTCACACACCTGGTAATTTTCAGTTAATTCTAACAATCTGTAAGCTATGTACTAGCAAAGAGTTAAATTTTTTCAGCGTGAATAGCTATTCCCTTAGGTTCAGTTGGAATTAAGGCCACTCTTTGTTAGTGGCCTCTTCTAATTGGTAACTTTTCTCTTCCATTTTGGTACAGAAAAAAGCCTCCAATCCAGTATGTCCGTTGTGAGATGGAGGGATGTGGAACGGTTCTTGCTCACCCTCGCTATCTGCAGGTGAGTGGCATTTGTTTGTAAAGAAGCCTTTCGGGTATCTTTCAGTACTAGTTTTCATACTTGGTCGTACTATAAACTTACTGTAGTCTTGGCCTAGACCTTGCCATTTTATATATATGTGAAAGACACCTAACAATGTAAAGAAAATTTCAGGATAAAATTATTTTCAACCACATTAGAAAAGTGACTAAGAAATTGAGGCCCACATATATCGCTTTTCTTGGAAATAAATCAGTGAGACTTATATCCTTCCAGTGGGATAGGTTACTCTAAACCAGTGGTTCTAAACCATCCTTCCTCATGCCGCGACCCTTTAATACATACAGTTCCTCATGTTGTGACCCCAACCATAACATTATTTTCGTTGCTACTTCTTAACTGTAATTTTACTACTGTTGTGAATCGGGCAACCCCTGTGAAAGGGTCATTTGATCCCCCGAAGGGGTCGCGACCCATAGGTTGAGAACCATTGCAAACGAAGAGCACCAGGCCTCTGATAGATTTTGTTAATGTGCACTATGGGAGGAAAAAAAGCTCAAACCAATGATTTCTTTTTTCTTTTAGTATATTGTTTATTGTTATTAGGTGACATCAAGTCAGTTCTGACTCATAGTGAACCTGTGTGTGTACAATAGAACTTCCTATGTAGACAAAACAATGCTGTCTTATTTTCTTCTTGTGTAGACTTTTAAAGAAAAATTGAGTACAGGTAGTTTATTTCTAGGTCCAACAAAAACAGTGAAGGTGAATCAGAAATGACTAAAGCTTAGACAGTACCATGGGCTACCAAAACACCAAACAAATCTTGGAAAAAGTAA